CACCCCCCCTCCCAGAATCTAATGGTCCATCCCTTAACTTATGTTAGCAGTAAAATTACTTTCCTTATTAAAACTTTATCATAGTCAGGTTACATAGACTGATAGACTTTTCTTAAAGAGCAATCAATCCAATCGGAGAGCTATATTTATTCTTAAAATAAAGTTGCATGAAAGACACATAATAAAACAAAATTAAAGTTACATAGATACAACAATCCTTGTAATAAATAAAAATCATCTGCAATCAAATAAAAAAAAATAACTTCCGCAAACAAATAAAAAATAGTTTAAAAGTTGAGATGATAAGTAAGAGTTTCTTCCTAACCCTGCCCCTCCAGTGCCCCTCACCCATTTCAATTGCATGTACATACCCTTCTTTTGGGTACTTATAGTTATTTGGATGGCATATTGAATTACATAGGGAGGGGGAGGGGGAGGGGCTGGAGTGTTAGGGTTAGGGTTCAGGGGGTCGTAAGGAACTTTTTTTTCCAAAATGATCTTGTGATGACGGCAATCTATTGGGGTTTATAAATAAAAACATTGTAAAAGAATAAAATAAAAAATTATACAGTTTATGTTTAAATAATATTTTAATTAATATCTTAATTTTTATTGTATTCAATCTATTAATTTAAAGAAATAAATTAGTAGCCATGGAAACAGACTCTACTAAGAGTCATCCAGTGAATGAATAAAAAAAATTTTGAACAAATAAAATACTGTAAAATCTGTATTAGAAACCGCGGCTTCTATTAAAATGGTACAATGCAACATAGGGAATGCGGCTTCTATTAGAGCATCTACACATATGAGAAATGATGAATTTTTGGTTCTCAATTATTCAAAAAGAATAGGTGCGACTTCTATTAGGGATGCGGCTTCTAATACAGATTTTACGGTATACAATTCAATTGAAAACAATTAACTGATAAGGGACAACGTCAAAAGATCGATGTCGAATAAAAAAACTTATTTCCTTTAGTTTGGGGGTGGGGGGTTTTGACCTCAAAAAGTTTCCATCCTACAAAAACGATTTTATTTTTTAATGAAGTCAAAAAAATCTTGGAGTATTTGTAGTTCGTTTTTTTCTATCCAATCATGGACAGAAATAACCGAAAAGGGAAAAAAAACAGAAAAATGGTTTGGTTCGAGTGTAAATCTGTGCGTCAAATGAGGTGCATTTTTAAAATTTTGTTACACCCACCCAACACCCAACTGCTATGCAATACTACTGTAAAATCTGTATTAGAAGCCACGACTACTATTAAAATGGTACAATGCAACAGAGGGGATGCGGCTTCTATTAGAGCATCTACACATATGAGAAATTATGAATTTTTGGTTCTCAATTATTCAAAAAGAATGGGTGCGACTTCTATTAGGGATGCGGCTTCTAATACAGATTTTACGATACTGTCCGATTACCAATTTGGATTTAATGGCGAATGTAGTCTGACGCCATAACTAATATTTATCAATTAAGTTTCAGTGGGGGGTAGGGGGGTTTAGAAAAAAACTAAAGGAATTAAGTTTTTTATCCGACATCGATCTTTTGACATCGTCCCTAAATACATGTAAAGGATGCAATTTCAGCAAAAAAAGGATAAGTCAGTATTAACGACAACTGTCATTTTAAAGCAAGCAGAATGCTTGAATTTATCACAAATCATGGTGCAATATATATTATCAAACAATTAAAATAACATTCCATTGCATTCATTGGATACCAGTTTTAAATTACATGGTTACAGAACCAAAATCTTGTGAAACTGTTTCACAATACGAATAC